AAGACAAAGACTTTGATTTAATTATGAGCAGTATTTCTCCTTAAGAAACAGCTAGAGACCAGATTCATGTGTTTTTTTCTTTCTTCAGACTGATAAAGCAACACTCGCTGTTAATCTGCTGACTGTGCCTCACTAGATGTTCACCCTCTCTGAAACAGCTATTCGTACTTTTAGGTTGATGATTTGTTGGACAATGCCACCAAATTTTTGGGATTTAAAAAAATGTATTAATATACTTATGTTTCTGTCCACCACTAATTGATTCTGATTCTGTTAGTGTAAAGAATGTTAGAGATTAAGTGATATTTCTACCAACTAGTAGGTGTGTCTTCTGACACCACAGTAGCCTTATTTATACCACCCATACCATAAATTAATTACCTGTTCTTCTCATATATAGCTTATCTTTAGTATCACTACAAGGCATTTGAAATAATTTCCTACAGAAGCAGAATATATTTTAAAGCTTTTCACCAAGCTTGTCAGCTCTGCAAAGAACATACTAACATATGCATTAAAAAGTGATAGGTAACGATTGAAACAGCAACTAGTGATAGAAGGCAGCAATGGCAACTGATGGGAATTTTTTGCAGCTTATAGCGTAACCAAATCAGGAGGGTCTGTTTGGTGTATATCCTGTGACTTTACACAGTGCACACCACACAGGGTACATTATTGTATTTCAGAATGTAAAATCTTGTTAATGTACTGCTGTCTACTTAAACAAAAACACACCATGTGTGTTTTTATTTTGTCAGTGCCCCTATGTGCATTACGATAAGGAAACATGTTTTAAGCAATTACCAACAAGAAACACTTGCAGAAGCTAGTTATAGTGCTGATGGCTCACTTCAAAATTTGGAAAAATGATACATTTGTGAAGTTCCTTTTTCATTTTTATTCTAAAAAAGGTGAAAACAGGGTTGCAGGGTTCTGCAGTACACAAGATACCCGCAACCCTGAATATAACTCGAATTTTAATCAGGGGTGACTTTATGTGGCATCATGAGGTGTGTAGTGATAGAAGAACAAATGGCTCCAAATGAGGCCTTTATATTTTTAATGGTGCCCTAGATAGGTGAGTTTAGTTTCTTAAATTGTTAATATGCCTCCTTGCACTGCATTTCTGTGTATCTCAGAAGACAGAAGGAAGTAGAAGACAAGACTGTAGGAGAGAAGATTGTAAAGTCAGCCGTTTGATATTAAGTGTCAGAGTTTATTGCCGGGACTTTTTTCTCTTTTAATCATGTTTATAGTAAGTGTGCTTCGGCAGCAATCTACGGAATATAATAGCGGTAAAGAGTAATGGAAGTTGAAACAGATGCGGTGGAGTGGTAATGTATGTGTCGTTTCGCCCTGATACAAGGACACACACATAGCCTATTATATCCCATTCTATGTTTATGTCTCAAAAGCTAATCTCAGGGGAAATGTACATCTGAAACCCCCTGCAAAGTCATTGCTCATACAATGGGCACATATATAAAACACACACATAGATACCGTCACACATACCGGTCTAAATGAAATGTGGGTATGGCCACATAAACACTCAGAAAGTAGCTCTAGAATGTATATGTAACACCAACAGACCCAGCCACAGTATTGATTCATCTGGCTGTTTATGTTCTGTTTTTTTTAATGTTCACATTACATGGTTGTAATGCACCTTTTCTGAGGGCGGTAGCTCAGTGATTTGTTTCTTTAGCTGTAGAAGCTTTTTTATCTGTAGCATCAGCAATAGGCTTCAGCCAAAGTTTGCAGTTTTCCAGTATATATAAACACATACGTGTGTGTGACTTATATTCATTGAATGAATGAAAAATGACTGAAGGATAAATATGCTAATTGGAGGGTGTGTTTTTTTTTCTTTACGCTTATTTATTTATTTATTTTTAACTTAATATTCCACTTGTCTGGATGGTAGATTGTTTGAGATTTGTGCCACTACAAGCAGCTGTAACCAATCTATATTTTGCTAGGCTAGGCTAAGTATTATTTGACAACTAGTATAGCTTACTTTGTGGTTCAGGTAATCTGAAAGTTTGTACTTCAGTTTTGATGAATGAAATTGTGGTATTTTATCACTTTTTTACTTAGCACTAATTAGTAGATATGGATTTCTTTGCTTTGACTCCATGCAATTTATAGTTATAGTTTGCTAACCAAACAAGTTAGCATTAGTGCATAACTTAGTGCTCATGCTTCTAGGTCCTAAACCTAGCATGTTGTAAACAAAATACTGATGCTGAGGCTTAAAAAATATTGAATCCAAAACCAAAAGTTTTTAAAAAAAAGTTTATATGTATAATCTTTGGTTTAAGTATGCAGAGCTTTAAAAAAATATAAAAACTCAAATACGTGTACCTATATGAGTAGTGATGTCTCTTTTTGGCCTATAAAAGTTATTTTGGTCTTAGACATTAACGGAGTCTTGTACAGACGCAGAAAGAGCTTTTTGGTGATGGAACATGTGTCGTACAGTACATATGCCTCTGGAATTATAAGAGACAATTTACAACCAATGAAAGAAAGAAGATAAGGCCTTGATAATAAACGGCTTCAAACATCTAATGAATTTCTCATAATTATGGGCCTTAAAAGTCAATTAGTTAATTGGCCCAGCGGTTTAATGTTAGAATGATGGTGCATTAGTTCAAAGGAAACCTCACAATCAATGAAGAAAACACAGCACAATCAGAAAGCAAATTACTATTTATCATTTAGCGATTAAGCCATACGTTCTCTTTGAGTGTGTCAGAGCCAAAAAAGATTCACCCTGCCCCGAGCGTGCACGCACACACACACACACACACACACACACACACACACACACACACACACACACACACACACACACAGTGTGGCTCCAAAAAGCAGATCAGTCGCTTAGGCCGGGACAGAGATCAATGTTGAGGTAATTTGTTTCGATCAATTAAACAGACATCTGCTTGAATTAGACTCCAATAGACTGCAAAAGACCCAACCCCTTCCTATCCTTGTGAGTGTGCTGCACTGCAAAAATAGTAAGTTCACATTAAAGCACTAAAAGCTGAAGAATCTAACATTCCAGCAGTGCATAATTGATAGTAGCAGTTATGGGACATAAGCGGGGTTTATAATCTGTAGTGCCTTTCTTCTAGTATCTGCTGAATGCTCTTAAGATGCAATGCAGAGAGGAAAAGGCAAAACTTTACATGTGGACTGAGCAATGCTACGGGCAACTTTTGCTCATGTTTATTGTGCAGGAGGTAGAGATGGGTGGGTAGGGGTGTTTGTAAAAGACAATTGCATTAACCCGAGTCTAATTTAATGGCTCCCACTAGTATTCTCTTTACATCAAGCGATGCTGCTGACATCACAGCCTGTCTGATGTCCGTTACTGCACGATATGAGGAGAGGGGGTCTGCTCCCTTCAAATGAACACGCAGGATAATTGTTATGCAGTGAAGCTGTGAAGCAGAGGAAGTAATTAAAGGAACAAGGGCACTGTGGTGGTGCTGGTGGTGGACCACATCCCCCTCCTCTGCGTCCCCTCTGCTACTGTTTCTCTCTGCTCGCTGGAGATTACACACATATTTTCACATGCGAGGTCCCCTTATATTGACACCCCTCCTCCCCATGATTACCGCTAGGGTTTACAGTTATCCTGATATTCTAATTACACTCTGTCTGCGTTTATAAGATCATAACATTTACAAATTTACGACACAATAGTTGTCCGTTGACCAAAAAATTAGAAAAAGGCATTTCTCACTTTATTGTTTCTTTTGTGGCTATCACTTGTCCCAGAATAAGCACTTTTTTTCCCCTTTAATTATTTCAAAATGCATTTGGGTTATTGAACGAACAGCTCTAGTGTCTTTTGTAATGCAACTCCTGCCTGAGAGCACTACCATCCATGTCCCGCAGTATTTCAAAAAATATATTGCCTGGAGAGGCATCTCAGGGAATATAAAGTAGAGTTTCACTGATGTATCTCATAAGGTATATCTCAGAATATAATGCATTCCTGGGCACATTGTTATTTTGATTACTGGTTATGAGAATAGTGAAGGAAGACTGTGGGAAAGAATGGTTTCATGTACTCTAGATTCATTTTTAGAGGAATTCTCATGAAGAAGGACAGGAGGAACTGTTATAGTTCTTAAAACCTGTATAAAATATTTATGAATATGTATCAATCTATTAAAGCTCCTTGGGGCAACAGTTGTTGTGATTTTGGTGCTATGTGCTGTACAATTTAAAGTAAAACTGAATTGAATTTAAACCTAATTAATCTAAAGTAAAAAAAAAATTAAAAAAAACAGAGACTGCTGTAGTTTGTGCTGGTAATGTGGTGTAGACTTCCATCATGAAGTCTAGTTAACATTTTAATGTTTTAATCATATTGTCAAGAACATGAATTCTTTTCAGTTATATTGATAGTTAGCAATATTGTCAATGTCAGGGCACATTATGAGTAAGCTTAAATCAGTATTAGAGATCCCGCCTTCTTCTTTGTATATCTCCTACAAACAATCACTTGGTAACAGTGGGGCAGAAAAACGGCCTTCTAACAGGAAGACCTTTCTTGAACCAGGTTCATGCAGGGGCAGCCCTCAAATACAACTGATCTCAGGGTGAGTGAAAAGAGAAGACATGAAAGAATACAATAGATTTAACCCTGTGGCTCTTATCTAGTCAAGAGCACAAACATTTTGCATAGACCTTCATTGTCTCCAGAGACTGAGTCTTGTCTAGTCTGCACATATCCTCTAGTGCAACTATGAGTTTTGATATTGGTGGTTTGTAGATGTTTGAAACAGGCAGTAATTGAAATCGTAATTTTGACCAAATTTAGGAGAAAATACATTACTTATTGAATAAATTGGCGCCTGCGTGTCTGGTGTCTTAGCGTCAATGATCTACATTAAGTGCAGTAGTTACCCATGCAATTTCTATGTGCATACAGCATGTCTTCTGTCTCAGTGGGGTCTCATGCATCCTTCTCCCTTCAGTCTACCAGAGGAGGAGTGTAATTGGGAGCAGTGTGCTGGAGTGCAGAGTGTCAGGGAGTCAGCAAGCCAGCCTGCCACAGCCGGTGATACAGGACGATAGAAGAGGAAGATTAGTGGAGCAGCCTGCAAGGCAGCAAAAGCAGTGAGTCAGCTGTGGACTGTCAGCTGGTAAAATGACCATGTCAGTCAGGGAGTCCGTCAGTCAAGCAAGCAGAGCGCAGAGTCTGGCCTCTCTTCCCTCCTGTAAGTACACATACATCTAAAAGGAGGAGAGTGCGGCGTCGGGACAAGGCTACTTAGCATTCCCCTGTCATCACCTCACTGCTCAGAACTTCTGTTATTGAAGAGGAAGGAAAAAAGAGCAAGGTAGGGGACAGAAAAGAGAAAGGAAGAAGGCAGTTGTGGTGGCACGAAGGCTACGTTAGAGCCCCAGGAAGGGGTTCAAGCCTAACGAGAAAGCCAAGGAACAAATGATCAATAAACAAAGGAAGAGAAGAAACAAAAGAAGAGAAGAATTGTAAAGAACATGAATTACAAAGAGAGAGAGCCAGTCGCAGAAAGTAAATCTCCCAAACCAATAAAGAGTTATGCGTTGTGATCTGTTCCAACGATCGTTGTGTGCTTTGAGATAATTGCTTCCATTTTGTTGCACAGAGACTATTACAGTATATGATAGCTGGATTACCATCTGTAACAGTGGGCTTTACACACCAGAAGTAGTGCTGTATCAGCAGCAGGGCTACAGTAGAAACTATAGGTTTAGTGAACATCATGAGTGGGTTGTGTATTAGCCTGGGGATATTGTAGCAGTTATGGTTTCTTTTCAACGAATTCCACTTCGTAGAGTGAAAACATTTTTTTCCTGTCGGATCTGGGGGCATCAGCACGGCACCTCAATGGGATGAGATCTCATTGTGAATTTGAAAAGAACAAGTTGAGTGACTCTCTAAAATGATCCTGGTGATTGAAGTGATATTCTGTTTCTAAAATCAGAACAGATAGTCGTCGAGTCCAACTGTTTTTGCTCAAGGCCTTACGTGGGCCTTTTAACAGGCAGAGACCTCCTGCAGAACCAAGATCAGGAAGGAGCAGCTATCTATCATGCCTGCTTGGCCAGTAAAGGAAAAACAAGACCAGACTAGCCCTCTAATCAGCAAGTCTTCATCAGCTGATTATTTAAGACCTTGTATGTGAGGAGCAGGATTTTGACTTCAATTCTGGTTTTAAACAGATGCTCTCTCTTTCTAGTCCCTGTCAGTACTCTTGCTGCAGCATTTTGGATTAGCTGAAGACTTTTCAGTGGGTTTTTAGGACTTCCTGATAATAATGAATTACAGTAGTCCAGCCTGGAAGTAATGAATGCATGAACTAGTTTTTCAGCGTCACTCTGAGACAGGATATTTCTAATTTTAGAGATGTTGCGCAAATGGAAGAAAGCAGTCTTACATCTTTGTTTAATATGTGCGTTGAAGGACATATCCTGGTCAAAAATGACTTGAAGGTGGAGTAAAGAGCACAGTTGTTTTATATAAACGTAGTGGAGATTAAAGCAGCACAGATTTGTTCCCTTAAACTTTCTTACAGTCTCTATTAGAGTTGGACCGACATTGACATTTTTTTAGAGTCCTGTTTTCTTCCACATGATTGTGATCCATGCCATTGACTCCTTCAGTGCACTTTGTTGCTCTGTGGCGTCAGTGCCGTGACGTATTGGCCATTGCAATAAAGTATGTGAAGGACATCATTTATGCATTTATGTTTTTCTGTGACACCAGAGACTTGTGATTAACACCGTAGTTTGACGCCCTATAATGAGAACCTATCTGTAGTTTGTGCACTGTATCGTTGCTGAACAGGTTGCTTTTCATTTTTTCTTTATCGTTTTTACTGTTAAGTGGAAAGAATGAATGATGATAGTAAGAATAAACCTAAGCAGTAAAACTGGAAACTGCAAAATCAAATGTCAAAGAAGATCTTTTAGCTAAAAGGAACTGTACAGTTGAAGAGTCAACCTTGTTGAGTCGCTCAATATGAGCAGCCCCTTTTCACATACCTGAGTAGTCCTTATTCATATACTGACACTGATTAGCCCTGCTTTAAATGATGCAGAAGGCTCAAACTTGTAGTTTACTTATGTTCATAATTTAACATGATAGCCAAATTATTCATACATGACCAACCAATGATTAGAAGACCAATAAAATGTATCAATAGAATGATACACTGTAACTTTCTTTATTCCCACTATGTTGCCTGTAAGTGAAAACCTTATCACTTTAGTTACACCTATCCATCCCGACACACGTCTTCACAGAAACAACCAAGACACTCATCTGCTGCTGATTGTAATCTAGATGGCTCTAACTAGCTCAGGCCCTCTTTTAGTTCCTTTTTGTCCCACGTTAAAACAAGGACACTGTTATGAAGCCTCTCCGTCTCTGTGAGCTTTTCAAGCTTTAAAAGAGTGGGTGTCCCACTGTCTGGCAATAGAAAAGAACACGTCAGCCGGGGCTATCTTTACACCCGAGCGCCCATTCTGACTTTAACTGCATTGGATTTTTTGTTTCACAACAGAGTGTATATCAAGCACGCCTTTGTGGCCCTGCCGCAGCCTGTAATGCATGACTAAAACACCTAAGTGGCAGCGGTGGTTCGTTAAGAAAGGGGGTGGGGTGGGGTGAGGGGGAGTGGGGGTGGGGAGGGGCAGGGGGAGCGTGCTCAGAGTGACAATCAGCCTGCATAGGTAGAGAGAGAGAGAGAGAGAGAGAGAAGAGAGGGGGAGAAAGAAAGGTGAAGACAGAAGGCAGGTCTGCTGCGGTTTGGCAGCCACTGCATATGGATCATGACATCATTCTCCGAACCGGATGACGTCTTCTCCCCCTTAATATCGTTCAAAGAGTTCTTTTAAAAATCAAAAACCTGCTCATTAAATTGTTTTAATTTAACTTCTGGAGCACTCCTCATTCTCCTTATCTGATCTCCTTTTCCTTGAGAAACACGGGCTTTTCTCTTCATTACTGTCTATCGGAGCCATTTATCTCCTCTGCTTTCCCAAGAAGTTTACTGACAGCCCAGTATGCAGGAATTCTTTATATCTTTACGTTAGTTTATGAGCGTGTAATTACAGATATTGGCTGTCTCCAGCATATTTAGACACCAATTCCATTTAAGTTTTGAAGCTACATCTCAGCATTTTCTATCGCATAAAATCACACACAGCTACATTGGCAGGAATAAGAGCTTTCCTGTGCTTTTTTTTTAATGTGTGTGTTTTAATCTCATTACAGTTATTGATGGTGTGCTGCTATAGTGTGGATAGGTCCAAAGGGCAGTAAAACTGTAGTAGACGCACATGTGTGCTATGTGAGGAGATCCAAATAGGGCTCCAACTTTCAGAATATATATTTGGTGAAATTACCAAATAAAATGGCTCATTAAGGACACTTACTGTCTCAACCTTTGATAAATGAAAAAAGTTATATAATGCAAATTTAAGAGCAAAGTCTTGTCCTTGTAAATCGACTATAATGTAACTTTAAAAATAGACGTTCTTGCCTTTAAGAGCGAGGAGTTAATATTACCATTTTTTTAAGCCATGGCCCGATTATTTACAGCCAACTGAATAACCATATCTCACCTGCTAACATTGTCACTAGCAAAGTCATACTTGAGAAGAAATGCTACTACACCAGAAAATATTAGTCACAATGCTAACTTATATGCAGGGTCAAACTGTATGAATTTTGTCTTAAACATGCAATGGCACAAAGCCAAACAAATGCATAACTAACATTTGTTTTCTACAGTAATATCCAGTATGAGAGCAGAGGGCAGAATAGCTAGTGTCATGTCTAAGTGTGTTTGTTGTCATTATGCTAATGTTCATTATATATATTACATATAACATAGCAGTATAAAAGTGCAGGACAGTCTAATGCTTGTCTCATCACTGTTTTAACCTTGGCTAGCTCATGGCTAGCCCATGCAGTCTGCATCCAAACTGCATGATGGCAAAAGTTTGTGTAGAGCTCCTTAAATGAAAAGTATTTCACTCCTGCCAAGTCTGAAAACTCACAAAGTCCTCGAAGAGAGGGTTTATTAAGGAAACAGGCTTTAGTCCTATTTGTAAAAAAGGAAATTAAAGTGCTGAAAACAGTCAAATCCTGTTTAAATGTTGTGGTGGTGGGAGGGCCAAAGCGTGAGGATATAATTAAATATATCATCTAAATAGGTATTGATCGTCTTAAGGGTGTTGCGGTTAGATTAAAAGGTTAAGGAATAAAGCGACTTTGAGGATTAAATCATTGTGAGGTAAAATCAAAAGCAGCAGAAGATAAACGCTGCAATAATTACAAAGTATGAGTGCTGCATACACGCTTAATGAAAGAGACATTAAAGATCCCAAGCTAAGATGCATTTATTGGCCACAAGCAAACCCGATCATGGTATTTTATCCACTGCAAAGAGAGGTGAGTTTGGAAGACACAAAGGTCTACCAATTGCCCTCACTGTTTATGTCAACGTTGCTCCACAATTTGAACTACAGTATTGAGATAGAATCATCAAAGGCCGTAGCAACCCTGAGATGGTTGATAAAGAAAGAGTCGCGGTGCGGCACCTGAGGCAAGCAGTCGCCACAAGGTCAGGAAACTTTTATTTTTTTAATCCAATAGACGTGTTTTATCTTCAGGGAGAGAGCGAGGAACCAGCTGAGCAGAGGATAACGGGCCCTGTTACACTCCTGCCTCCCCTTCTGATCAACCAATCAGGCGTGAGAAAAATGCTGAGTCAACCGCTGGGCGCTGCTCACGTCCGAATGCTGTGGAGGAGGGGTCGGTGGTAGAAGAAGAGCCAGCCAGGCAGCCAGGCGGTGTCTGCAGTGGACTGCAGCAGCATTAGCACTGCTAACCTCGTGGCACAGGTCCTTTCATTTTGAGAGGTGCTGACCCACCAGCCCCCAAGTCTTTAAAGGCTGGTCTCTGCTGATGGACTTTTATTTTACATCACATCTCCCATAGAAATTAGGTTTAATTGAAATGTCTAAGCTTAGTTTGATGATATACGTCCCACTTTTCCCTCTGCCTCTAGTCACTAGGTAATTAGAGGGAATTAATATAGCCAGCCACAGAAGATAAAGTTTACAGCCTGACCACAGGTCAACTTGTTTCATTACTATGGTGCGCCTTGCATTAAGCTAATTACCAGCTGGCAAACATCTTCATCAGACATGCACACAGACCTTCATTAGGATGCTTTGTATAAATCTGCTTCATTTAAATGCCGCATTACAGAAGATTATTGTGGTTTTAAGTGGATTTTAATGGCTATTTTGCAACAGTGGCCCTCAGAACCATCAGGGGTTTCACACTGATGTGACGGGAAGTGATGGTCTGACAGGTTTCCTGGCCTCGCCCTCCCACAGTATTGGCGCTTGATGGAGAACCAAGGTCTGGCAGTCAGTCAGCTAGACACCGAAAAAGCAGTACGACACTGATAGGCAGAACGCATGACATGGTCAGTGAGAGAAGAGACCGATAGAGTGAGGGGAGTGGCTGCGTATGGCAGGTTGTATTAGTGCAGCCCCCGGTGTCAGGCCATACATTTGAAAT